CCCCCCCCCCAGGGATGCACAAGGGAAGGGGAAACGTTTCTCCGGGCTGCTCCGTGGCAACGGGACATGCCAGGCAGCTGGTGCTGCCCCACCGGGGGGGTGGTGGCTCCGTTGAGGGGCTGGTGGCACCACCGTGGGGCTTGTTGCGTGGACACAAGGCACGTGGCATCGTTCTGGAGCTGGTGGCACCACTGTGGGGGTGGTGGCTCCGTTGAGGGGCTGGTGGCACCACCGTGGGGCTTGTTGCGTGGACACAAGGCACGTGGCATCGTTCTGGAGCTGGTGGCACCACCGTGGGGCTCTCTGCAATGCCCTGGGGCTGGTGGCACCACCGTGGGGCTCTCTGCAATGCCCTGGGGCTTGTGAGACCAGCGCAGGGCTTGTTGCACAGACACAGGGCTGGTGTCACCACTGAGGGGCTGGTGGCACCACCATGGAGCTCGTGGGACCACCATGGGGCTGGTGACACTACTGTGGTGTTGGTGGCACTGCCATGAGGCTGGTGGGACCACCCCACGCTATGGGGCTGGTGGCACCACCATGGGGCTGGGGACACTACTGTGGTGTTGGTGGCACCACCACAGGGCTGGTCTCACCACCGTGGGGTCTGCAGCTCCTGGCCTGCAGGAGGAGGAGGAGGGAGGCTGCTGGCTGGGGTGTGGGGCCGGGAGTTGTGTGAGGGCTCCGGAGGCAGCAGGGGGGTTTGGTGTCCATCCAGGTGGGGCTGCTGTCCCGTGGGAGCAGGACTGGGCTGAGGAGCCACCACGGGGGGCACGGAGCTGGGGCACCAGGGTGGTCCAACTCAGGGTTATTGCCCTGGGGTCACTGGGGCAACTGGGAAGAGACTCGGATAAAAAGCCTGGGCTGACGTGGTCTGTGGTGTGAGCAAAGTGTGTGGGGGTGACACAGGATTTAGGTTTCTCCCGTGGGAACAGCCAGGTGTGCAGCCACGTGTCCCCCCGCTGTCACCTGCTGCTTCCTGGGTGATGCTGGGGTGAGTCCTGATAATTAAGGGAACCGTTAATGAGGCGGGGGGGCCTGGGCAGTGAGAGGAGCCGTGTGTGGGGCAGGAGGAACATGGAGTCGCCCCACGGGGACACGGAGCTGCCCTCACAGCCCCACTTGGGATCTGGGCCTCGTGGGGACCATTCCTGGTCCCGTGGCTCTGGAGGGCTCAGCCTCCCTGGTCCCCATGGGTTGGTGTGGGGCAGTGCCAGGCCCCGGGGTGTCCCCAAGCTCAGCCCCTCCTCCCGCTGTGTTTGTCCCCTGGGGGCACCACCCCAGGCAGCGGGTACAGGCAGTGACACCCCAGGGTGTCCCCCAGGCTGTGGTCCCTGACTGGGGGTGACGATCCTGGGGCCGCCCAGGGCGAAGGAGACATCCTAGGGGATAGTGGTGGGTGACAACCCCGTGGGGACACCCCTCCCTGCAGCCCCCCCTGGCCACGCGTGGCTGCCCCCAGGGCCTGGGCTGGCGGCCATCTTGGCTGAGGGCAGCGCTGCAGCAGCCATGTCAGGTGTGAGCAGGGCAGCCTCGGGGGGCTCAGGGTCCTGCCCCTCTGCCTGGCCCCAGGGTACTGGGCCCAGTGCAAGGAACTGGGATGAACTGGTGGGTTTCCAGCGAGGCCCGGGATGGTGGTTTGATGGGGCAGTGTGGGAGGGTGCCAGCTCAGCAACCCCCCAAGCCAGGCAGATGTTCAGACAAACGCTTTTATTGATCCATAACCTGAGAAAGGGATCTGGGATTGCCCAGGAAACGCTGGTCCCGGTCCCAGCACCTTCCAAAGAAACACCCAGGTGGGGGCAGCCCTGGGAGAGGCCGGCCCCTCCACGCCCCCCCAGCCACACTGGCCCCCAGCAATACCATCACTCCAGCAGCCTCACGGCACTGGGATCAACTGGGATCTCCACCTGGGCAGGGATAAGCAGCTCAGTCACAACAGCCCACCAGAGCACAGCTCAGTGCCAGGCCCGTGGCCACTGCAGGGCAGTGACTGTTCCCGTGTCCTGGGGGGTCCCTCTGGGGACAGGGGGCTGGCCCATCTGCCACCCTCCCCCCTCATGGCCAAGGCTGCGGTCCAGGCACACGCTGGGGTCCCATGGGACAGGAATCCAGTGAGGTGGGCACTGCCTGGCACCAAGGGTGACACCAGGACAAGGTGTGGACGTTTCCTCGGGGCCCAAAACGCTGCCCCCCACAGCCTGGGGAGGGGTCAGCAAAGGGGGTCCCCAGGCGCCCTGCCCGGGGGGCACAGAGACCGAGTGACAGCAGATCACTACAGCAAACAACTTGATGGGAAGAAAGAAACACAACAATCAACAAAAACATCTGGAAAACTAATCTCAGGAGTCCCACCAGCTGCTCCGTTGGGTCTGCACGGCGATGCCACCAGGGCCCGATTCCTTGCTCTGCACCCC